ACTCAGAGCAGTAGTTATAATCAGTCAGTATGTGCTCCACTCAGGGCAGTAGTTATAATCAGTCAGTATGTGCTCTGCTCAGGGGGGCAGTTATAATCAGTTAGTTCGTACTCCACTCTGGGTGTCAGTTACAATCAGTTAGTATGTGCTCCACTCAGGGCAGTAGTTGTAATCAGTCAGTATTTGCTCTGCTCAGGGGGGCAGTTATAATCAGTTAGTTCATACTCCACTCTGGGTATCAGTTACAATCAGTTAGTATGTACTCCACTCAGGGCAGCAGTTACTATATACTCCACTCTGGGCAGCAGTTATCATTAGTAACTATCTACTCCACTCTGGGCAGCAGTTATATTCAGTAACTACATATTCCACTCAGGGTAGCTCTGTTGCCCTATGGTGTATGGGTCTCGCAGAAAAGCTATGTCGCAGAGAATAAGCACGCTTATTGAAGTTGTGTTTGAAATAAAGGTGACCATCTGCTTGCTCAGGCAAAATGGCGAGCTTCTTTATTTGTGGTTGTTTATATAGGGAATTTTGTACAAGCGCACAATATAGTAATGACCTCATTGATCCATTTAAGCATCATGTGACTACCTCGTGATTAGCTTCCAATAATCCACTCAACATACACCTTTTGACATAACCCTTTCACCATAACCCAATTTAACATAACTTACTGGAGAACATGTTGTTAGCCATTACTTCTTTGTTCTTATCTGATGATGCCTAAGGCTACAGAGGAACAAGGTAGATTGAATACCTGCCCTTGCTGACCTTGACATTTGGAGGCTGTTACTTTGGATCTTTAAACAAGGCATAAAGAAACTTCTTGGGCATACAGGAATTCCTGTGCAAACCTCTGCTCCCATGTAGGCCTTAAGTCAGGGGGGTTTTGCTGGAAACTTTCATAAGGAATTTTCAGGCTGGTCTTCTCAAAAGCCTTTCACGAGTCCAAGTTTCATCTGTGCCATTAACTACCCGTATGCATTGGATAAATTCCTCTTCTCTTGAGGTCCCCGAGCACATTTTCATTCCCAGACCCATCAGCAAGTGACCTTTGTTACTTATCACAGATCAGGAAAGGTTACTGATGGGTATCTGACCAGTTTTCCAAAGGACTTTTTTATTGGCCATATAACGTAAAGCTTGCTAACAACTAACCTGACCACATGAGATTCTGCCTCAGTTTCTTACAATGCTATTCCAGCCAAAGCCTTGGTCATGTTAGGCTCACAACCAACTTGGCCACATGAGATTCTGCCTCAGTTTCTTACAAGTATGCCTGCACAAAGTCTTTTCACTGCTCTCTCTCAATCGGCTTTTTTGGCCAGAGGCATATAGGCATTTCACCTGTATAGCTGTTACTATATACTCGTCTCAGGGCAGCAGTTATAATTATTACTATGTACTCCACTCCAGGTAGCAGTTATATTCAGTTACTGTGAAACTGTACTCCACTCAGGGTAGAAAGCCTCATTTCTGTTATTTCTGGAACTGAATATTGCATGGTCATTGGCTATGTCTTTAAATTTCTATGATCACTACATATGCAAAGGGCGCGTTTCCAGGAGTGCTTAGCATGATTCTTTTCGAGCCTGTGCTGTTTTAGAAACAAGAGCTCTGCAGTGTTCTGAGGAGCCACAGAGCTGGTTTCACTCACAGTGTTCTGCCTTCTTCAGGAGAGCAAATAGCAATTTCTCAGTGATTCCTGTCACTGTTCTGAAAATGTCAAATGACTGTTTCCAGACAGAAGAAATATAAGGCACACACAGTTCATGAACGAATGCCACTTGGAAAACTCAGAGAAACCAAAGAGTCATAGAAGAGGTACAAGAAATCCAGGGTCACCTGCTATAGGTTCAACCAGACTAGAGTCTGATGGTTTTGCTTCCATTTTATGATTATTTCACTTCATTTCATTTCATTTTGGGTGTCTCTTTGTCACCCTCCGTAGAGTGCTGTGGTGTTACAGCTCACAACACCCTCAAACTCTTGGGCTCAAGTGATTCACTTGCCTCAGCCTCCCAAGTAGCTGGAACTATGCCGCTACACCCGGCTATTTTTAAAGATGAGGTCTTGAGATCTTGCTCTAGCTCAGGCTGGTCTCAAAGTCCTGAGCTCAGGTGATCTACCCACCTTGGCCTCCCAAGGTGCTTGGATTACAGGCATGAGTGATAGCCCCTGCTGGGTTTTGCTTTTTAAATCTATTCTCTGAGACCTTTTCTTCTTACTTTCTTATCACCAGCAGTGCTCTAAGGTTTCTCAGCATTTATTAACATGAAAATTCTTGATCCTTTGTGTTAGTAATTTTTTTATTTTTTTGAAATATATTCAAATTCAGAATTTTTTTTTTTTTTTTTTTAGAGACAGAGTCTCACTTTATTGCCCTCAGTAGAGTGCCACGGCAGCGTCACACAGCTCACAGCAACCTCCAGCTCCTGGGCTTAGGCGATTCTCTTGCCTCAGCCTCCCGAGTAGCTGGGACTACAGGCATTCACCACAATGGCCCCGCTATTTTTTTGTTGCGGTTTGGCCAGGGCCGGGTTCAAACCCGCCACCCTCAGTATATGGGGCCAGCACCCTACTCACTGAGCTACAGGTGCCGCCCTATTCAAATTCAGAATTTAAAAGGTACAAAAGCCATATATGAGGATAAATTTCACCTCCATATCTAGCATTAGTTCCCCCATTCTCCAACCTAAAGGCAACTAAAATGCTATCAAGTTTCTTTAAATCCTTTTAGAGGTGCATAACAAATGTTCAATCAAATGGTAAATATATTTTCATTCAAACTCTTTTACCCAAATGTTAACAGTGTATTCACATGAATCATTATTTTTCACTGAATATATTTTGAAGAACACTCTGCTTCATTAAACATCCTTACTCTTTTTGATAGCTGCATAATATTCTATAGCACCTCAAGTTTCATCACTGCTATTTATTTAACTTATCTCTTAGAAATGACATTTAGGTTGTTTCAGACCTTGTTATAGTTTATGCAGTTGCAATGATTAAATAAGTTTTTACCATTTTACGTATATACTCATGTGTTGCTTAATGATGGGGCTATGTTCTGAGAAATGCATCTTTAGGCAAGTTCGTTGTTGTGCAAACATTGTATAACGTACTTACACAAACCCTAGATTAGCCTACTATATACCTGGGCTATATAATACAGCCTGTTGCTCCAACCACCATTGTATATCATCCTTTTTTGAGAAAAACACAATTATGCAATGCATGACTGTATGTGAGGCTATCTGGGGGATATATCTCTAGAAGTGGAATTTCTGGGTGAAAGGGTATGTATTATATTTGTAATTTTGATAAATCTGCTAAATTACTCTCCATAAAAGCTGTGTCAACTGACATTCCCACCAGTGAGTATCTGTTTTCCCAACCTTCCAACAGCATGGCCAGACTTCGTTCTTTGTTGATCCATTTGTCCAGCTGTAGATAAATACAGAGTGGCCATCAAGTTCATCTTCAATTTTACATTGCACACTATTTTAAATTGCACATGAACTTTATGGCCACCCTGTATATGGGTATTTGTATAATTTGTAATCTACACATTTGATTATATTTTTGAAAACCAACCGTATTTCTTTTCTGTTGAACTGGTCGTATCTTTTGCCACCTTTTCTGTTGAGTTGTTGGTCTTTTTCTTAATTATTGGTTTATAGACACTAAATACTAAGGAAATTAACCCTTTAACTAAAAAGTTGCAAAAAATATAAAATAAAAAAGTTGCAAATATTTTTCCTAGTTTGATGTTTGACTGCTCACTATATTGTTTTTCATGTATAATTTTCATATTTCTTATGCTGTATTATTTAATGATCTTTTTTAATGGCTTCTGAGTTTTGTGCCATAGTTAGAAAGAAGAATGGGGGGAAGAACACTGTGTATTGGAGAGCTGACCCTTTCACCAAGATAGCTTTCCCTTCCGCATTTCAGTGATTTTTTTTTTTTTTGAGACAAAGTCTCACTTGTCGACCTAGGTAGAGCTCCATGGCATCACAGCTCACAGCAACCTCAAACTCTTAGGCTCAAGCGATCCTCTTGCCTCAGCCTCCGAGTAGCTGGGACTACAGGTGCCTGCCACAACCCCTGGCTATTTTTAGAGATAAGGTCTTACTCTGGCTCAGGCTGGTCTCGAATTCCTAAACTCAGGCAATCCACTGTCCTCAGCCTCTCTAGTGCTGGGATTACAAGCGTGAGCACCACACCTGGTGATTTCAGTGACTTTCTAAGGCCTTTCCAGCCAAAACCTTAGGAACACAAAACATTTTGGCTCTCAGTCTAGTCTTTCAAATCCAAGAATTCAAAATCTAAAACTTCTTGACATGACACTCAGAGGACTGTTCATTGGATCATTTCAAATTTTAGATTATGGGATTGGGGATGCTCTATGTGTAGTCAGAATGCAAATCTTCCAAAACATAAAGCACACAAAAAAACAAAAATCGAAACATTTCTGGTCCCAAGCATTTTGGATAAGGAATACTCTATCTTACCTATAATAAAAAGAAAAGAAATCTGTGAATTAAAAATTCAATCACTTAAGAACAGTCTACATGATTTCACTTAACTTTTTAACTTAAAATATATATATATAGCTCGGCGCCTGTGCCTCAAGCAGCTAAGGCGCCAGCCTCATACACCTAAGGTGGCGGGTTCGAATCCCCAGCCCCGGCCCGCCAAACAACAATGATGGCTGCAACCAAAAAATGGCCAGGCGTTGTGGCGGGTGCCTGTGGTCCCAGCTACTTGGGAGGCTGAGGCAGGAGACTCGCTTGAGCCCAGGAGTTGGAGGTTGCTGTGAGCATGATGCCATGGCACTCTACCCAGGGGGATAGCTTGAGGCTCCGTCTCAAAAAAAAGAAAAAAATATATATATATATGAAAGATATATATGTATGAGATATATATATGTATAAGATATGTATAAGATATATATGTATATATATATCTTAAACACTCTTAAATCTTACCAACAGTGATTATCCGTAGCAGGGTCAGCATCCATTTCTTGTTAACCAATTTCCAGAAAGGACTAATTGTTAGGAATACTGGAGAAAGATAGGCCATAGCTAAACCTTCAAATCCCGTGAGTTTTAGTGTTTGCAGAGGGAAGTAATAGACCATTGGTCCCAGGCCATGGTAGAGAGACGAAGAAACATACCCTACAAAAAAAAAAAAAACATATAAAAAGAAAAAGTTAACTTTGACATTGTGTCTACCAAGACCCCTGCCCCTCCACTCCTCTCCTTCCTGACTCTGGCCTTATCTGGGTTCCAGTCACAGAATTCCTCCCTCCTCCCGCTCTAAGTCCCTCAGCACCCTGTATCTGTTCTTTTAACCATGTCCATGTGACGGCAGGTGGTTCCCTTTATTAAATCCTACTCATCTGGACCATCTGAGTTGAATTCAGCTTCCTGGGGAGACACAGATTGATAAAATTTTCTTACCTAAGCTGACCCTTAAATAATGAGAAATATCATGAAAATCAAAAAGAACAAGAAACAGCAGGACCCCCCCCCCCATCCACCCCAGATCCCATCCAGAAGCACTTTAGTTGGACAAACATCTATCACTTTTTTTAGCAGACCGTTTTCGGCGCAGCTCTTAGGAGGCAGCCGTGATCGTGGTTAGTGGCTGCCCAGATCTGACATCAGCTGCACCTTTGCCAGGGACCCGTGCGTAATCTGGTGCAATATTAATTAACAGTAACGGACACTTAACCACGGACTGGTGTTCTCCGTGCTAAGTGTTAATTCAGATCCCCTCTCCTATTCCTCATACAGACCCATGTCCTAGGAGGTAGGTAATCTTTCTATTCCCCTTTTATAAATGCAAAAATAAACGAACCAAACAAGAACCAAACAGCAGACAGACAAACAACACCCAGAGACCCAGAAAGTGAAGTAATTGTCTAAAGTCGCACAAGAACCAAATGGCAGAGTAAACTTTAAATCCAAGCGTCTGGCTCCTGGATACCCCATCTCACCACCAACTTCCTCCCATGAGACTTCATTCTCCCTTCCTTAATCCACCTGCCAGAGTGGCTGGACGGGTTAAATGACGTCACATACACGGACGACCTGGCAGTGCCTAGAGCCAGGCTCTTCACATCTTCCAGCTCAGAACACTGGGATGGAAAAATAGTCTGAACCCTCCTGGAGGATTCCCAGCTCCCAGAACATCAAGTTCTCAGAAGGCGCCCCGCCCAGGCCACAGGGAATACTGGTTTCATAACGAACTGCGGGGTAGCGAGCAATTTCCCACACGTTTGTCTGGGAACTCTGATTTCAATCCTACAGCTCCCAGGGGACTTGAGGTGACCCCGCTAAGTGAGCGCATCACACGCGGGTCGGATCGTTTCCCCACATGCCAAGCGCGCAGCCGGCAAGGACCAGGGCAGCAGCTGCCGGTGCTCACCTGAACCCCTGGGGAATATGGGCGCCTTTTCCTTCTGCAAGTTAAAGTTCACTACTGAATTGTGTTAAACTGAAAGGCCACGTGGAGAGGAGGAGTGAAGGTGGCACTAGCCACACGTGTTTAAGGCTGACGGGATTTGCGTCCCTTGGGCTCAAACCCAGGGTTGCGTGGGAATTTGGAAGACATCGTCTCCTACAGGAGCCTCGCAAACTCCTCGGCTTCGGAACTTCAATCCAGGTCTCTCCTTTATTCTCCTCAATACCAAAAGTTCCCGGGGACGATAAGCATCTTTATTCTGGGCACTGACTGCCCTTTTCTCCCTCCCTGAGCTCAGCCTGGGGAGCCAGCCTGGGGAGTTGGCCCCCGCGAGCTCGCAGCAAGGGTGACCTCAGGTTACCTAGAAGGGTCTCCAGGAGGATTTCTCTCCACAAATAGGCCATCGCCGCGCCGTGGGGTGGCGATCTCCAAGAAAGTCGCTGGGGCTGGGTCCCGTTGCGCGCGCCCTGAGCCCTGCGCCGGCCTCCTGGTCCTCCACGGTATGCGTCGCGCCCCGGGTCCCCTGGCAGTGTGCAGCCAGCCAGCTAGCCCGCGGGCCGAGCCTAGGCGGGGTGGGGGGTGGACCTGCTCGGACCACGCCTGTCCCCACCACACCCAGCCTCGCCTACCCGGCCCGACCAGGCGCCACCTGTGCGCGTCGCGCCGCCTTTACAGCGCTGCTCCGGCCGGAGTCCCAGCGGCACTCTGTCTACCCGCCACAGATAGCAGAAGATAGGAGTCCCAGCGCGCGAGGCCTGGGGGCTCAGACGCTGCCTCGGGGCTCGGATCCTGCCATCAGACTCACATCAAACCAGATTGCCAGACCCGCCCGCAGAGCAGCCGAGAGATACAGATACAGAGCGCTTTACCCGCCACGCTCGCAAACCTCACCTTGGCGATCCTCAGGGGGCCACGCGCGCAAACCCGACCTTGGCGATCTCCACGTCCGAGGCTCGCGACCGGGCGAGAGCCTCCAGACCGCGCTTCTATCCCACAGTATCCCAAATAATACAGACGCTATTTGTTAATTGCATTCTGGAAGAGGGGCCAGGAATTTTAGCTGCTGCAGGATTTTCCCACTACGGATGTGGGTGGAAACTCCGTCCTCCTCTTTACGAATAATGATAAAAATTTAAGAGTGTCCATCCGTAAGGGACCCGTGGGAAGGGTCCTAACTAATGTAGCACGCGAACTAGGCCAGTTATTTCTCCCTCGAATATACCACAGCTCAAGATCTCGTGACTATTTTAGAACTCAAAGCAATTTATCTTAATTCACTTAATGTTTTTAGAAGAACTTAATCATTCATCACATCTGGAAAGTTTGCATCAGAGTTCCTGGTCACTTAATTACTTACTAACTAGTATGCCCAGTCACAAAGGTAGACTTACAGGCCAAAGGAACAGAACTGAGAAATTAGAATAAACTCTTATTTAGGCTCAAAAGATCTTCACAAGCTTGCCAAGACAATTACACGGGTAAAAGAGGAGTCTTTTCAACAATAAATTCTATAACAACTATCCATGTGCAAAAGAATAAAGTTAGATTTCTATCTCACACCATACCCATTTCCCCAAATCAAAGTCCTAAATGTAAGCAATAAAACTGTGAACACTTAAAGAAAACATAGGAGTAAATCTCCATGTTCTTTTTTTTTTTTTTTTTTTGAGACAGAGCCTAAAGCTGTCACCCTGGGTAGAGTGCTGTGGCATCACAGCTCACAGCAACCTCCAACTCCTGGGCTCAAGGAGAATTGCCTCCCAAGTAGCTGGTACTACAGGCATGGCCACAACAACCCGCTATTTTTTGGTTGCAGCTGTCATTGTTGTTTGGCGGGCTCGGGCTGGATTAGAACCCGCCACCTCAGGTGTATGTGGCTGGTGCCTTGCTTGAGCCACAGGTGCTCAGAAAAGCACAACTGACAAAAGAAATAATAAGAGAGGCCTGGCAGGCGCGATCCACCTGCCTCGGTCTCCCAGAGTGCTAGGATTACAGGAGTGAGCTCTGAGTTGGAGATTGCTGTGAGCTGTGAGTCCAGGGTGCTGTACCCAGGGCGATAGCTTGAGATTCTGAGAAAGAGAGAGAGAGAGACAGAGACAGAGAGAAAGAAGAAGAAGGAAGGAAGGAAGGAGAGAAGGAAGGAAGGGAGGGAGGGAAAGAAAGAAAGAAAGAAAGAAAAGAAAAGAAAGAAGAGAAGGAAAATAATAGAGAATTTAGACTTCATAAAAATTGAAGGCTTTTTGCTGCAAAAAACTTCATCAAGAAAGTGAAAAGACAAGGCAGACAGTGGGGGAATGTTTTCAACTCTCTCCCCTGCCCTCCACTCCCACTGTGGTCTCTCTGTCAGTGTGGCTTTCTCAGCGTTGTTCTTTGGCCTTTTGAAAATGTCTCCCGGTGTTCAGAAGTCCCTGGACTATTTTGTAAAAATAGTTTTAGAAAGGCTGTGAGTGACATCGATAGCTTTTTTTTTTAAAGCAAGAAAGCAATTTCTTAGGATCCTGCATGTATCTGAACATTTCTTGGAAAACATTCTAACTATTAGGTACCATTCTTCTTCAAGTCTACATTTTTATGAAGTCGTTAGACATCTGGAATCGTGCTGGACAGTAGTTTTGAGTAAACCACTTGCTCTTCTACTAGCAAGGTGGAAATTGGGGGCACGTGGGGAGCCCTGCAGTGCTCTCTCCCTCAGCACCTTGGCACATCCACGGGCACAGCTCTCTTTTCTGCTGAGTTGGCCTCAAAATCCTCAGAAATCACGACTGGGGAAGCCAAATGTGGCAGATCTAGACACGTATTGCTGAGCCAGGGTTGAATCATGAAAACGTTACACTAAGTGAAGTCAGCCAGACATACAAGTCACATATTGGATAATGTCATGTTTGTAAAATGTCCAGAATAGGTAAATTCACAGGGACAAAAGAAGATTGGTGTTTACCAGACAGAGAATGGGGGATGACTGCTTATGAATGGGCAAGGGGGGTTTCTTTGGGGGCGATGAAAATGTCCTGGCATTAGATGGTGATAAATGCATAACTCTGAACATGCCAAGGCCATTCAGTTGTACACTTTAAAGGGTGAATCAGGCCAGGCGAAGCAGCTCAGGCCTGTAATCCCAGCACTCTGGGAGGCTAAGGCAAGTGGATCGCCTGAGCTCACAGGGGCAAGACCCATCTCTAAAAATAGCTGGGTGGTGTGGCAGGCACCTATCGTCCCAGCTACTTGGGAGGCTAAGGCAAGAGGATGGCTTGAGCCCAAGAGTCTGATTTTGCTGTGAGCTGTGACACTACAGCACTCTACAGAGTGCGACAAAGCAATACTGTCTCCAAAAAAATAAATAAAATAAAATAAATAAACAAAAATAAAAGGATGAATTTTATGGTATGTGAATTAAATCTTAATTTTAAAAAGAAGAAACAAATGTTCATAGCAGCGTGATTCATAATAGCTAAAAAGTAAAAACAACCTAAGTGTGTAACAAGTGGGTAACGGATAAATAAAATCTGATAAATCCACATAGCAGAATATTATTCAACAATAAAAATCTGATAAATCCATATAACAGAATATTATTCAACAATAAAAAGTAGTGAAGTACTGACATATACTCTGACATGGATGAATCTTGAAAATATTGTGCTGAGTGAAAGAAGCCAGTCACCCAAAACTGCATATCCTATTATTCCATGTTCTATATATGACATGTTCAGAAGAGACAAACTGACAATGTGGAAGGTAGAGGAGGGCTCTTTCGGATGCAGGGATGGGAGAAGGAAAGGGAAAGATGAGTCAGGTTTTTTTAGAGAGGGATGAAAATGTTATAAAATCAAATTACGACAATGGTGGCACAATTCTGTGCATTGTACACATTAAACGGGTGAATTGTATGGTGTGTGAATTATATCTCAATGAGGTTGTTTTAAAATGCAATTCATAGCAGTTATATATTTTTTAATGTTTTGGTTGGGGTTCTGGTCATTTGGTATCGGGCCTTTTTCAGCATGTGAAGGATTTCCGTGGCTAAAAGCATCAGATGCTGCATTTTCCTTCCTTGTCGGCCATAATTCAGTGCTGTGTGTACCCAGAAGGTGCTTTGTAAAGCTCGCTCCTTTGCAAAAGCCAGTGCCAGGAAAAGCTTTACTCCTACTCAAATAAACTGTTTTCTTCTGCACTCAGAGCTCAGCTTGGTTTTTTGTTTTCTGTTTTGGGGGGTTTCTCCCTCTTTAGCGGTTTGGTCACAGCTAACTACGAAGGTGTCTGGAAAGTGCGGAAAGTCTAGCTGTAACTCCAGAATTGTAAGGCAGTGGTCCACTCAGTTAAGTCACAAGCCAGATGTAGAGCAATAGCTAATATTTATCCCATGCCTCGGTGGTGAAGGCAGGCTCAGACTAACTAGGCATCAGCTCAAGAGCAGAGCGCTTATCTTTGAAAGGTCGTAGGTAGGGTGGAGGGGGGGGTGTCACTTTGGTGTGCTAGTGACTGCTGCC